AGAGCCTATCTGTGCCCTAGTTAGAGAGGTCACTAGAGGCTTCTCTAAGGTAGGGATAGCCGAGTTCTAAGAGAAAAGAAACACTTATCAGCAAAGAAAACAGCATGTGCCAAGGTCCTGGGGCAGGTGGGAGCATGGCAAATATAAGGGATAAGAAGCTGAGATAGTGAAGGTGGAAAATAGTGCAGAGGCCAGTGGGTAGATGGGCCACATAGGTCATGAAAGGGAGTTTTGTCTTTATCCTAAGAACAATGAGGAACCACTGGAGGTGTTTAAGCCAGGTGTGAAGTAACTGAAGATTAGCAGTTTGAAAATATCTGCATGGCTACAGTGTGAAGAATAGACTGGAAGAGGCCAGCCTAATTACAAAGTGAGAGATGATGGAAATTTTAATAGGGTAGGGATGGAAATGGAATGGACAGATTGGAGACCTGTTTAGGAAGTAAAATGGATAAGTCTTGGTTGTGAGTTGGCTATAAGGGAGCATAGAAGAAGGAGAGGTCAAGAGTGATTCCTGGGCTTCTTGCTTTGCACAATGGGAAAAAGAGAAGTAAAGAGTCAGGTTTGAGAGATTATGAGTTTTGGTCAGGTCGGGTTTGAAGTGCCTTTGAAATGTTCCAGAGAAAATGTCAAGTACATAATTGGACATATGAGGCCAGAATTCAGAAGATAGATGAATGTGAATCTTCAGTGTATTAAGTGGTCACTGAAACTACCATCATCAACAAGACTGCCTACAGTGGGGATGGGAGAGAGTACAAAGAAATGCTCAGTATGGGTTCCCACATAATTTGTTTCTTCCTCTTGTGAATACATGACCTTTCTTTCCTTAAGGTAACAGAAGTTTGACTATTATCAATGTGGCCATTCTTTTTCTATAAGGGGTCTAAGTATAAATAGAGAAGGCACTGGGTTACAGGAGGCAAACATTTTTCTCGCTGTGATTTTACATTTTGCTGTGATCCAGGGCAGGGAAACAAACACTGTTTGGAAGGAATAAACATGGATTATAAAAAAGGAATCAAGTGAAATGGTCCCGAAGGGTCTGCCACCAGGGACATATGCTCCTGCTCCCCAGTGTGAGCTCATGCTCTCTGGAAACATGCTGATGCATTATGGAGAGGACTGTCACTGCACAGATGTTCTTATGGTATTGCTTTTATGAGATGTGTTCTCAGTTCTCGGTATGTGGCTGAGATTAGCGATTTGAAAAGATCCACATGGCTACAATGTGAAGAACAGACTGGAAGAGGCCAGGCTAGTTAGGAAGTGAGAGATGGTGGAAACTTTAATAGAGTTTTCCCCAATGTATGAAACAGCCTTTTCATATATGGGGGATTTCTGTAGTCAGAGGTTTGCTACTTGTGGGGTCAGAGATTGATGAAGGATCCACGGAGCCTGCAAGAATGTAGAATCACAAAGCCATGAAGGGAGTGGTGAGCAGGGTAAGATATTCCAAAGAATCGAGACTGAGAAAGTATGTGATTGGCAATGTGTGGATCAGTAATAACATTAGCAATGCCTTTTCAGTAGCACTAGGTTGCAGGAGTACCCATTGGCTGAAGAAGCAACCAGCTGTTCTCCACACTGTAGCCATGCAGTGGCCTAGGCCAACTCCAGATAGGGACCTAGACCAGCAACGGCAGCAGCAGAAATGCAGAATCTAGGCTTGCTTCTGTCTCAGACCTAACAAATCAGAACCTGCATTTAAATAAGATCACTCAGGATTCTTAAGCACATGGAAGTTTGAGAAGCACTAGTCTGAATCAGTCTTCAAGAAGTTTGGCAATGGTAGGTAAGAGACAAAATCCAGATAAGAGGGAGATATTAGAAATGGAAATGGAAGCGAGAGAAGAGCCCAAGAAGAAAAGGCTGGAATCAAAAGAACTAATTAACCTGGGGAAAGAGGTGTGACTTCCTTTGTTGAGGAAAATGGAAAAGAAGAATGGAAGAGGAAGTGTGAAACCAAAGGCAGATAATTGAGAAAACTTGGTGGTCGGATGGCCAACTTCTCTCCAGTAAAATTGGTGGCAAGGTCAACTGCTGAAGAGAAGGAGAAAGAAAGGTTTTAGGCCAAACAACACTCGATTGTTTAGAAACTCCTTTAACTTACAGGGGTCTAGTTTAAATGATATTTATTTTGGCTAACATGTCTTTGTATGTTTTTCCTGTTACCTCCTTTAAACAGATATGCATCAATGTATAAAAATTATTAAATACCTTAACAACAATTTACAATAAAACTTTTGCATTTGTACAGGTAGTTTGATGAGGCTAAGTTGAGCCATGAACTTCACTAGGGCCAGCGTTATATAGCTTGCTGACGTTATTAAGTCAAATAAATATCATGGCTGCAAAAATGTATAAAACTTGAAGAAGAAAAAAAAGTTTAATCTTTACCTACAGTTTTTAAGTCTTGTAAAGTTTGCTAAATCAATACAATGATCTGAGAAGTTCATCTCAAAGTCAGATATATTAGTGACTTACTTCATTGGTTTTCTGATGACCATTTATCATGAGATATAGAATCTTCAGTATGAATGAGGGAAATAAAAAACTTGAATCCTTGACTCTTATATAAACTAAATATCTGATTTATAAGACACAAATGAACAAACTTCTAAGGCCTGTCATGTTTTCTCAGTTTCTAATTTATTCAACCTCTGCTCAATATTGATCCTGACAAGCAGAGTAGCCCAAAGATAAATTTATTCATTCCACAGTTGAGTCAAGAACAAGCCAAAAATTATAGATTTTCCCAGGCAGATGATGACAGGCAGTCAAAGGGATGACAAATGGCTGTCTTTAGATTTATTAAGAATGGTTGGTCCAGACATTTCCGATAAAAATTGGAGTATGCTGGTCAAATACAGGTTCATCAGTGGTCATCATTAATGGTAGAGAGAACATTGCTGCACTGCAGACGCCTATACAGGAGCTTAGGCATCAGCCCTGCAGGGGAAATAGAATTTGCTCCTCAGTATTTTGCAGCACGCCTCTAAGTGATAGCATGACATGATCATTTATCAAACAGAGACTGTCCAGAAAAGTGTCTGCTTCCTTTAGTAACTTATTGAAGAACAGGAAAGTGAAAGCTTTTTATTAAAGACAGGAAGGCAATGAACAACCAGAGCGTATCCAAAGGGTAATTGTATTTCAGCACAGGATTAGTTTAGTCTTAAATAAACATACACTGGAGGGAGTATGTTGAGGGTCATTTATCAAGTAAGGAACAATTAACAAAACTCTAAGCACTCTTTTTATCTATATCAATTTAAAGTTCTCTAATTGTCCTTATTAACTTTTAGATGTTGGGCATCACATTCGACACTGTAAAAAATATGTGATACATAATCCCTTCCTTACAGGTTTTTAGAGTAAGAGAAATACATGTAACTCTCACATAAAATAAGATAGCTATGGCTGTATTAAACACTGCCAAACAAATCATGTTGGAGAAGGCATATTCCAGAGTCCAGAACTGAAGGCTGAAGTTACAATTTATAAAGATAACTTTCTTATAAAAAGTAAACTACTTCTTTGTCAATAGGTGAAGAAGTTTCTTCTTCCTTACTTAAAATGTTTTCGATCTCTGTTGACAAAAATTAAACGAAAGGGAATTAGTTAAGAGATAGCAGGGCAGGCAAACAGGCAGAGAACTGACACATTTATTACTTGCTTTGTTCCAGGCACTTTATATGCCATGGCAACTAATCTTAATTAACCTCATGTTATAGATGAAGACATACATTTGCCTAAGGTCACACAGTCAGCAGCAGTGCCAGGAAGTTTAGGATTGCCATATAGTTAAAAAAAAAAATGTCTTATATTTTCACATAAATTATTTATTTGAATCCCTCAAAGTCTAGCACAGACTGAATTCAGGGTATATATCCAAGGAAGTGAAATTACTATTTTAAAAGACTCATCTGCACTCTCATGTTCTTTGCAGCAATATTCACAATAGCCAAGACATGGAAACAACCTAAATGCACTACTTTTGTTGAGTAATTCATTACAGATTAAATGTATCTGATTTTAAAAATAAAGAGCAAAACTTTGAGCACATATAAGAAATACTCAAAGTGTACTTTATTTTCATTAAATAGTAGTTAGAATATATTTTTTAGAAATGAGGGAAGGGGAGAAAGCAAGAAATGACAGACAAGGTACTGGGCAAAGAGTGACATTGGATGGGAAAAGAAACCCAAATAGGAACAAGAGGCTGTGAAAAGAGCAAACTGAGACAGTTCGTGAAGTGCCATTAATCTGTTTTCCTCACATTTATTTGGGTTATAGACCATGGAATAACTTTATTATTCCTTGAAATATCAATGAGCTGTTTTTCTTCTTGTAAGCTATAAAAACATGCAAATATTTATGATGTAATGTAAAACAAACTTGTACTCACAGTACAATTATGACAATTAAAAATATGTGCCCTCCCCAAAGTCCCTATGCTAAAAATTAGAAGGATATATCGCAACATATTAAAAGTGATCTTTGCATAATATGCATACAAATGATTTTTCCCCCTTCTATTTTCCCCTTTGGAAGGTATTTGTTTTTTGTTTTTTAACAGATTTAATTTGTAAAATAAAAAGCAACAATACACGCTGCTTACAGTCGCAAGGGACTGCTTACTCACTACCCCTTAATTGCCTAATTTGTAAATTTCTATGAGCTACACTAAGAATAGGGCATCTTCTGCAGGAAAAAGCTTTTTCTGAGCTGCAGTGGAGACCATTTAAGGGAGTATGACGGGCAACAGTTGTGTGGACCCCAACTTAGGACCTCAGTTTTTGCCTCATCTTTAGTGCCTTCTATTATCAGTATAGATTGTTTTATTCAAAATTTAGTTGTTATGCACCTTCTAAGTACGTGGCTCTGAGCTAGAACTCCACGAAAGCAGTAATTACCTTTTAAAACAGTAACTGACATGCTAGAAGTACTGGCAATTATGAAATGCTTGTGCTTTGCTTTTTCTTCTCTAATTATAGGATTTGGAGTTTTTACTGAACAAGTTGATGAAGCTGTGGAAAATTGATCTAAATGGAAATCCTGTTTGTCTCAAACCAAAATACAGGGACAGGCTGATATTGGTGTCCAAATCACTGGGTACGTATTTATATTAATATAATTTTTAAGAGAAAGACACCTAGTTAACTTTTTAGTTATTTTGCCAGCAAGCTTTTGGAAATATAATTATGACATCTGCATCTGTGAAAATTGTCAATTTTAAATTCAATATTTTGAATAAGAGCAAAAGCTAAAATTGAGAAAGCATGAAGAACATCTGCTTTTCAGAAATAATGAATTAAAGCACCTGATACTTATTCCTTAAAGAGAATATTTTATTGCCAATAAAAATGGTTAGCCATAAATGTATAGAACTTGCTGACCCTTTGCCAGACTTTTGTTAGCATAAATCCTTTGATGATCTCAAGAGACTCCTTAGCTCTTGGTTCTGTAGATAAAATTGATTGAGGTTTTCATTGCTTGACATCTGCCAAATGTTACCATACCAACATAGAGGAATCCCTTTCATTTGATAGGAGAGAGGGCTGGGGAGACCCTTTAAGAGATCCTTACAAATAACAACATTCCTGAATATGCACTATACTGGGGGAAATGGACAAAAGCACTTTATTAATAGTAACCAAGTGACATAGCATCAGAGACAAGGGCAGTGACCTCTCAAGAAGGCACTGGTTTGCTGTGTCCCTGCAATAAGTAATATGGGAGTCATTTTATGTTTTTTAGATTATCCAGTCCTCACCAAATAGAGTGAAAACCCACGTATTTGGCTTACTTAGCATGAGTGGAAGCAAATTTTGTATTGAGAGCAACTTATTAAAATTAAATAAATCTCATAGGTCTATGATCTTGCATCCATTACCTGGCTCCCAATTTTGAACCATTTTCACACCTATTAACCTTAAATAAGACCATTTGCGTCCAGGCAAGGTGTTCATGCCTGTAATCCCAAAACTTTGGGAGGCGGAGGCGGGTGAATTGCCTGAGCTCAGGAGTTCAAGACCAGTCTGGGCAACATGGTGAAACCCCGTCTCTACTAAAATACAAAAGAATGGCCGGACATGAGGGCATGCGCCTATAATCCCAGCTACTCAGGAGGCTGAGACAGGAGAATCACTTGAACTCGGGAGGCGGAGGTTGCAATGAGCCAAGATCACGCCATCACACTCCAGACCTGGGCGACAGAGTGAGCCTCTGTCTAAATAAAAAATGATTTGCTAAAAATGAGATGGAATCAGGTTAACTGAGGCACAGTTTCCTAGTCATTTCTCAGCTCTGTTTGGGACATTAACATGAGGAAGAAGAGATTACAGTAAAAGACTTGGGCTGGGCTCGGTGGCTCACGCATGTCATACCAACATTTAGGGAGGCCAACGCAGGTGGATCACTAGGTCAAGAGATTGAGACCATCCTGGCCAACATGGTGAAACCCCATCTCTACTAAAAATACAAAAATTAGCCGGGTGTGGTGGCGCGTGCCTGTAATCCCAGCTACTCGGGAGGCTGAGGCAAAAGAATCGCCTGAACCCAAGAGGCAGAGGTTGCAGTGAGCCAAGATTGCACCACTGCACTCCAGCCTGGCAACAGAGCAAGACTCCATCTCAAAAATAAATAAATAAATAAATAAATAAATAAATAAATAAAAAAGAAAAGACTTGGAATTTCCATTCCTTATCTTTATAACATATTTTTAAAATTTGTATTTATTACATATATCCCATCCAAAAATATACTAACAGGCTATATAATTATTAATAAAATAGATCTGGAAAGACATCAATAAATTTAAGTGTCTGGAAAAACTGAGCATCAAAGAATGACCTTTAGAGTAGAGACGGAGTTTCACCATGTCAGCCAGGCTGGTCTTGAACTCCTGACCTCAAGTGATTCACCCACCTCGGCCTCCCAAAATGTACCACGCCTGGCCTGACACCTCTGTTAAATAAGGGAGAAAAGGTTAAGGAGGGGTGGCTAATTCTAGTGACCATGATTGTGAAAGGATTTACTTTCTATCAGAAAGGCTGTGTTTGAGCACAAACGAAAAAGCTTCACTTTTCGTTCTAGCAAAAGTTTACTTTTGCGCAGTTATTTTCCATATGAGGAAAACTACAAGTAGCCCAATTTCCGCTTCAGGAAGTTGAAGACATTAACTTGACAGAAATCTAGTTAATAGGTTTGGCCCGGGAAACAGAAAGCAAGCAAGCAAGCAAGCAAGGGAAACTTCGGTTCTGCGACGCATGTGCTCTGCCTTGAAGTGGCAAATATGGCTGCACGAATTGGCTGCCTGGCCCTCTCTGCTCAAGTATTGGGAGACAGTAGTGCGGTAGCAGTCATGGCTGTGGCGACGGCAGGTCATAAGGCAATCAAAAGGTCTCAGGTTCTGGTTTAACGTTCGGCCTCCAAGGCTGAGGTTTGTGAGGTGTGGTATTGAGTCCCATTTGAGCTAGTCTCTTTTTCCTGAAAGAGGACACTAAGAAGGAGCTGGATGAGCTGAAACCATGGATATAGAAGGCAGTAAAGAGGGCGCTGGGTTTCTCAGAGCCTGCAGTGGTCACAGCAGCATTGAACCATGTGGTGTAGAGCAGGTACAAGAAGATGGCAGCTGATAATCTGAAACCTTTGCTTGATTATTCTACTCTCTGATTTGTGGACAAACTGAGGCTGTGGAGAAAGGTGGAAGCTCTAGGCATTCCGAGTGTAGCACTGACAGGAGCAGAAAACGAGAGCTAAAGGAAGTGTTTGGTGATGACTCTTGAGATCAGGAGTAAAGAAGCAACGAATACCCCATTTTGAGGAGGTGGAAGAAGAGTCAGAGGTGATCCCTGGTCCTCCATCAGAGAGCCCTGGCATGCTGACTAAGCTCCAGACCAAACAGATGATGGAGGCAGCAACATGACACATTGAGGAGAGGAAAAAACAGCTGAGCTTCATTAGCCCCTGTACATCTCAACCAAAGACTCCTTCTTCCTCCCAACCAGAGTGACTTCCAATTGGCAACACTATTCAGCCCTCCTAGACTGCCACTTTCATGAATGATGCCATTGAGAAGGCAAGGAAAGCAGCTGAACTACAAACTCATATCCAAGCCCGGCTGACAATGAAGCCAGAACTCATCAGTAATGCCAACATGGTGGGTCTGGCTAATCTCCATGCCATAGGCATTGCTCCCCTGAAGATGGAGTTAAAAAACCAAATTAAACCTACACCACTGATCCTAGATGAGCAAGGCACACTGTAGATGCACTAGGCAATGAGACTGAGCTGACACACCGCATCCCTACTCTGAAGGCCAATATTCGTGCTGTGAAGAGGGAATCATTGAAGCAACAGCTAAAATAAAAGCCATCAGAAGACATGGAGTCCAATACTTTTTTGACCCCTGAGTCTCCATTGCCTCTTCTCAGAGCCAGAGATGCACTTTTAAATTCCATGACAAGGGCAAATTTGTGAAGATTGCTCAGTGATTAAGGACAAAGGCTCAACGGGAGAAGCTACAGGAGAGATTTCACAAGTAGCTCAAAAAACAGGCATCCATACTTCGACTAGGTTTGCCCTCATTGCTCTTAGGAAGGAGCTAAAGGAAGGAGATATCCCTGAAATTGAGTGGTGGGACTCTTACATAATCCCCAGTGGCTTTGACCTTACAGAGGAATATCCCAAGAGACAAGATTATTTTGGAATCACAAATCTTGTTGAACATCCAGCCCAGCTCAATCCTCCAGTCCACAATGACACACCAGTTACTCTGGGTGTGTATCTTACCAAGAAGGAACAGAAAAAAATTCTGAGACAACCAAGGTGGGAAGCACAGAAGAAACTACCAGAAAAAGTCACGCTGGGCCTGATGCCTCCTCCAGAACCCAAAGTGAGAATTTCTAATTTGATGCAAGTATTAGGAACAGAAACTGTTCAAGACCCCATGAAGGTAGAAGCCCATGTCAGAGCTCAGTTGGCAAAAAGACAGAAAATGCATGAAAAGGCCAACACTACCTGAAAACTCACAGCAGAACAGAGGAAGGTCAAGAAAATTAAAAAGTTTAAGACGTTTCACAGGGGGTACACATATCTGTATATAGAGTTAGAAATTTGAGCAACCCAGCCAAGAAGTTCAAGATTGAGGCCGATGCTGGGCGGTTGTACCTGACAGGAGTGGTAGTATTGCACAAGGATGTAACATGGTAGTAGTGGAACGGGGCCCCAAGGCCCAGAAGAAATTTAAGCATCTTATGCTGCATCGGATAAAGTGGGATGAACACACATCTAACATAAAAGGAGATGGTGAGGAGGAATCTGATGAGGAAACTGTGAAGAAAACCAATAAATATGTAGTCGTCTGGGAGGGTACAGCCAAAGACTGGAGCTTTGGAGAGATGAAGTTTAAAAAGTGTCCTACAGAGAACATGGCTCGTGAGCATTTCAAAAAGCATGGGGCTGAACACTACTGGGAACTTGCACTGAGTGAATCTGTGTTAGAGTCCACTGATGGAGACTACTGCGAGCCCTTGCCTCTCCCCATTTGCCTTTGTCTCATCAGTCCTCTCACTTATTGTGTTTCCCAATCCACTCCCAGTTGTTTGTGTGATCTCAGAACTGTGCCAAGCAGACACTGGGACAAAGGGAGAATATCTTCCTCCTTTCTCCATGCAGCCTGGTGTTGCCCTTTATTCCCCTTGTGTGCATGATTAAACAGTTATTTTTTAAAATAAATCAATAATTTAAAAAAGAATGGCCTTTAATGTAAAGTTATAAGTACTAAGGTGTGTGACAATTTCTTATGGTTTGGAGAGTGCTATCTTGTTCAGTGAAAAAAAGTACATGAAATAAGATATGGGGACAATTTTACTTCTAGATTCTATGGTTCTAGTTTATATTTTCTGCTTCAACATTTTATTTTGTATTTTGGGTATAACACAGTATTATGGCTCATGTTTAAGTGGTAGTATTAACATTTTCAGTGGTATGACCAATATTTTATCAGAATATTGTCATTATCCCTGAAAGAATGTATGGTCTACGCTGGGCACGGTGGCCCACGCCTGTAATCCCAGCACTTTGGGAAGCCAAGGCGGGCGGGTCATTTGAGGTCAGGAGTTCAAACCAGCCTGACCAATATGGAGAAACTCCATCTCTACTAAAAGTACAAAAAATTAGCTGGGCTTCATGGCGCATGCCTGTAATCCCAGCTACTCGGGAGGCTAAGGCAGGAGAATCACTTGAACCCGGAAGGCGGAGGTTGTGGTGAGCCAAGATCATGCCATTGTACTCCAGCCTGAGCAAAAAAAGCAAAACTCCATCTCAAAAAAAAAAAAAGAATGTGTGATCTAATAAATTTTATTACATTCTTTCCGTATTCTGGGATCTAATTGAAGACATTGCATGGATAATGAGAGAAAATATCTAATTTTCAAAACTACTATACAAAACTTTTATTAGAAAAAAATCTATCAAGCAGAGTCCTATGGAAAGAAAAAAAATTAAGAAAAAAAATAATCCTTCTATTAAATGAAGACTATCTGTGTTCATGTAATTAAAGAAACAATATAGGCAATAAAAAATATCCTATAATAAGGGAATTGTTCAACATTTTATAGGATATTCATAAACAATAGAGGAACAGCCATTGAAAACTGTGTTTAAGGAAAGACATGGTAAAATGTTCACAACACAATATTTAAAAACAGGATGCAAAACTAATATAAATAGAGGATTCCAACTTTATATGCATATATAAAAAAAACATGCTAAGAAATATACAAAAATGTTATCAGTGATTCTTTCTCATTGGGGAGTAATACTTTTTTATTTTTTGTTTGTTTTCCAAATGTCTTACAACATACAAAAATTATTTGTATAATTTATGAAGCTCAATTTCACCTCTGTAATCCCAGCACTTTTGGAAGCCAAGGTGAGAGGATTGCCTGAAGCCAAGAATACAAGAGCAGCCTGAGCAACATAGTGAGATCCCATCTCTAAAAAAAAAAATGTTTTTAATTATCCAGGCATGGTGGCAAATGGCTATAGTACTAGCTACTCAGGTGGTTAAGGCAGGAGGATCACTTAAGCTGAGGAGTTTTGAGGTTGCAGTGAGCTAAGATAATGCCACTGCACTCCAGCCTGGGTGACAGAGTGAGATCCTGTCTCAAAAATAAATAAACAAACAAACATAATAAGGGGTATGGCCAGGCACAGTGGCTCATGCCTGAAATTCTAGCAATTTGGGAGGCTACGGCAGGTGGATTGCTTCAGCTCAGGAGTTCCCGGCCAGCCTGAGAAACATGGCAAGACCTTGTCTCCACTAAAAATACAAAGAAATAGCTAGGGATGGTTATGCACACCTGTGGTCCCAGTTACTCGGGAGACTGAGGTGTGAGGATGGATCACTTGAGCCCCAGGGGACAGAGGTTACTGTAAGCAAAGATCACTCCACGCACTCCAGCCTGGATGGCAGAGCGAGACCTTATCTCAAAAAAAAAAAAAAAAAAAAAAAGAACAAGAAGAAGAAGGGGTATCGATGACAATTACAGAGCCTTCTAATATTTTATTTAATTATATTTCCATTGTTTATAACAAGCACATATTCTTTTTGGAATCAGAAAAAAATGTAAAAGTAAAACCTCCACAAAAGTACATACATTGTGTTATTAAGGTATTTTGAAAAAAAAAATTATTTCAGTCTATGATGTAACTTAAGTTTCTGTGCTCTGAACCAGAAGTGTGTATTTTGACTTATGTTTATATGTATATATTGTATTTTTAAAACATATGTATATTTTTCTCCAGAATTTCTTGATGGAAAAGAAATTAAAAATATAGAAAGACAATTCCTAATGAATTGGAAAGCATCCAAAGATGCCAAGAAAATCAGCAAAAAAAGGAGCAGTAAAAATGAGGATGCAAGCAACTCGTTCATAAGTAAGCACTCTGTCACTCATTAGCTGACCACTCTTAGAGCAATGGGAATATTCTAAGCAACAAAAAAATGTCAACAAATAAAATGGTTTTTGTTTAGTATTTTTTGTTTGTTTTATGGGGTTTTGAAAAACTGATTTACTTAGTTGTACATAAAGATAAGTACAATTTGTCTTGAATTGCAAATTTTACCTGTAATGTTTATATATGAAAATAGTAGCACTCTGAACAAAAGCTGTGTGTGATTTTGTGTAAACATAGAGCCACAAGGGTGGGGAAAGATGTATGATTTTATATCTGGCAGAAGTGCATCATATCAGCTATGTAAATTGTGAAACCTAAGCCACTAGTATATTTGTTTAGTAACAGTGCAAAAAGGCTGGATGTGGTGGCTCACGCCTGTAATCCTAGCACTTTGGGAGGCTGAGGCGGGTGGAACACCTGAGGTCAGGAGTTCAGGACCATCCTGGCCAACATGATGAAACCTCATTTCTACTAAAAAAACAAAAAGTAGCCGGGCATGGTGGTGGGCACCTGTAATCCCAGCTACTCGGGAAGCTGAGGCAGGAGAATTGCTTGAACACAAGAGGCGAAGGTTGCAGTGGGCCAAGATTGTGCCATTGCACTCCAGCCTAGGCAACAAGAGCAAAACTCCATCTCAAAAAAAAAAAAAGTGCAAAAATCACATTTTTCATCAGGATAGAAAATAACAATGTATTGGCCAGGCACAGTGGCTCACACCTGTAGTCCCAGCACTTTGGGAGGCCAAGGCAAGAGGATCATGAGGTCAAAAGATGGAGACCATCCTGGCCAACATGGTGAAACCCTGTCTCTACTAAAAACACAAAAATTAGCTGGGCGTGGCAGCAGGTGCCTATAGTCCCAGCTACTTGGGAGACTGAGGCAAGAGAATCACTTGAACCCAGGAGGTGGAAGATGCAGTGAGCCAAGATCATGCCATTGCAGTCCAGCCTGGTGACAGAGTGAGACTCCATCTCAAAAAACAAAGCAAAAATGAAAAAATGCATTACAACATCTGCAGATGTACCCCTTCTTATGCATATACCCCAACACCTGAATGTTTTGATTATAATATACCTAAAGTTGTGTTACAAAGGACATACCAACCTCCTTTGCCTAACTAATGTAACAAAATGTAACTAAGAGTAATGTGTAAGTTATCTTTATTTTGGAACATCCAAGAACTGACTAGTCTGGCTGGGCACAGTGGCTCATACCTTTAATCCCAGCACTTTGAGAGGCTGAGGCTGGTGGACTACCTAAGGTCAGGAGCTCCAGGCCATCCTGGCCAACATGGTGAAACTCCATCTCTACAAAATATAAAAATTAGCCAGGCATGATGGCAAGTACCTGTAATTCCAGCTACTTGGGAAGCTGAGACAGGAGAACTGCTTGAACCCAGGAGGTGGAGGCTGCAGTGAACCAAGATGCTGCCATTACATTCCAGCCTGGGAGACAGAGCAAGACTCTGTCTCAAAAAAGAAACAAAAGAAAAGAAAAGAACTAACTAGTCACAGATTTTTTTAGCCTATGACATCGGAATGAGCCCCTTCCTCTTTTCCATGATAGAGTTTGAATGCTAATATTCTTGTTCTACAACTGATTAAGGGAGCAGATAAGGACACAGTGAGGGGCTAGGCCAGGGGAATAGGAAAAGGGAAATGGAGATGCTGTAGTGAGGCTTTATGCACAGATAGCATATCATAGGAGCTCTGTCATTCTAGGACAAAGTGTTTGACATGAGGAAGAACATGGGTGGAGAGGCATGGAGCTCTAGTGATTTTGCCATATCATGTTCACTGAATACTATGGACCAAGCATGGTGGTTCACACCTGTAGTTCCAGCAGTTTGGGAGGCTGAGGTGGGAGGATAGTTTGAGCCTAGGAGTTCAAGATCAGCTTGGACAACACAGTGAGACCTCATCTATACAAAAACTATTTTAAAATTAGCCAGGCATGGTGGCATGTGCTTGTCCCAGCCACTTGGGAGACTAAGGCAGGAGGATCACTTGAGCCTGGGAGATCAAGGCTGTAGTGAGCCATGATTGTGCCACTTCGCTCCAGCCTGGTCAACAGAGCAAGACCCCATCTGAAAAAAAATAAAGAATATAAACTATGGAAAATTATTAGGTAGAATGGGACTTTTAGTTGACAATATACTCATAAGTATATTGCAATATACTGTGTTGCGATGTGAATTTCTCAAGATCTGAAACTTTTAAAATAATCAGAAAGTATTTTTCTTCTATTCATTGCTGGCTGGCTGTGAAGGGCAGAAGTAGATCTAGGGTAAGGATTCTAGTATTTTACGTATTTTCATATTACACCAAAGATGTCACCTTTTTAATATTTAATACAAGCTCTCACTCCAAAATTGGGCCAATTCTAAAAATAATGTAGTTTCTTTCATATTAACAGATTTTGAAAATTCTTCCTAATTTAGGAGCAACTATATTAATTGTTAACATCAATGAAATTTTACAAAATAACACTATGTCTTTAAATTTAGAACTTTAAAAAAATTGTAGTCTACTAACCAAAGCAATCTATACAATGCAATCCCTATAAAAGTTACATTCTTCACAGAAATAGAAAAAAAAATACTAAAATGTGTATGGAATCACAAAGAACCCCAAATAACCAAAGCAATCCTGTGAAAAACCAACAAAGCCAGAGGCATCGTACTACTAGACTTCAAGATATATTACAAAGCTATAGTAACCAAAATACCATGATATTGGTATAAAAACAGAAACATAGACCAGTAGAACAAAACAAAGAACCCAGAAACCAATCCACTTACCTATAGCCAACTAATTTTTGGCAAAGGTGCCAAGGACATACATTGGATCACAGCTCACTACAGCCCCAATCTCCCAGGTTCAAAGGATCCTCATCCCTCAGCCTCCCAAGTAGCAGAGATGATGGGCATGTGCCACCATGCCCAGCTAATTTTAAAATATTATTTGTAGAGATGAGGTCTATTGTGTTGTCCAGACTAATCTTGAACTCCTAGGCTCAAGCTATCCTCCTCTTCAATAAATGGTGATTGGAAAACTGGATATCCATATGCAGAGGAATGAAACTAGATCCCCAGCTCTCACTCTATGCAAAAATCAACTCAATATGAATCAAAGACCTAAATGTAAGACCTGAAACTATAAAACTACTAGAAGAAAACACAGAGGAAATGCTTCAGGCATTGATCTGGGAAAAGATTTTATAATAGGACCTCAAAAGCACAAGCAATGAGAACAAAAATAAACAAACGGGATTATATCAAACTAAAAAGCTTCTGCCCAGCAAAGGAAACAAGAGTGAAAAGACAACATAAGAATGGGAAAAAATATCTGTAAAATATTCATCTGACAGGATTATTACTCAGAATATACAAGGAACTGAAACATCTCAACAGCAAAAAAACCAACAATCCAGTTTTTAAATGGGCAAAGGATCTGAACAGACATTTCTCAAAAGAAGACATACAAATGGACAACAAATATAAGAAAAATATGCCCAATATCACTAATCATCAGGGATGCAAATCAAAACCACAATGAGGTGTCATCTCATCCCAGTTAAAATGGCTATTAACAAAAAGACAAAAAAATAACAACAGCTGGCCTGTTAATGGTGGCTCACACCTGTAATCCCAGCACTTTGGAAGGCCGAGGCAGGCGGATCACAAGGTCAAGAGATAGAGACCATCCTGACCAACATGGTAAAACCCTGTCTCTACGAAAAATACAAAAATTATCTGGGTATGGTGGTGTGCACCTGTAGTCCCAGCTACTCGGGAAGCTGACGCAGGAGAATCACTTGAACCCTGGGGGCAGAGGTCACAGTAAGCCGAGATTGCAACACTGCACTCCACCCTGGTGACAGAGTCAGACTCCATCTAAAAAAAAATAAAAATAAAAATTTGATCTCATAGGAGTAAAAAGCAGAAAGAGGATAATACAGGCTGGGAAGGGCAGAGGGGAATAAGGCAAGGGAAAAGAGAGATTTGGTAAAGGTTACAAAATTATAACCAGATAGGAGGAATATATCTTAGTGTTTTATAGCAGCTGTCCCCAACCTCTGTAGCACCAGCAACTGATTTTGTGGAAGACAATTTTTCTATGGATCAGAGGTATGGTGTAAGAGGGCGGATTGTTCTGGAATGATACAAGTTCATTACATTTATTGTGCACTTTATTTCTATTAATATTACATTATAATATATTATGAAATAGTTATACAACTCATCATAATATAGAGTCAGTGCCTGAGCTTTTTTTCCTGCAACTAGGTGATCCTATCTGGGAGTAATGGGAGATAGTGACAGATCATCAGGCATTAGATTCTCACAAGGAGCTCACAACCTAGATCCCTCACATGTGCTGTTCACAATAGGGTTCGTGTTCCTACAAGAATCTAATGCTGCAGCAGATCTGATAGGAGGCAAAGCTCAGGTGGTAATTCAAGGGATGGAGAGCAGCTGTAAATATAGATGAAGCTATACTTGCTCACCTGCCACTGACCTTCTGCTGTGCAACCCAGTGCCTAATAGGCCACAGACCAGAACCATGGGGGTTGGGGCTATTAAAAGAGATTATTAATCTCTTTATAATCTAGTGTGAGCCCCAACTAATGCTAACATAAACAACAATCTTTTTTTTTTTTTTTTTTTTTTTTAGAGATAGAGTTTCTGTCACCCAGGCTGGAGTGCAGTGGCACAATCTCGGTTCATTGCAACCTCTGCCTACCAGGTTCAAGAGATTCTCCTGCCTCAGCCTCCCAAGCAACTGGGATTACAGGTGTGCACCACGACACCTGACTAATTTTTGTATTTTTAGTAGAGATGGGATTTTACCATGTTAGCCAAGCTGGTCTTGAACTCCTGAACTCAAGTGACCCACCTGCCTCAGCCTCCCAAAGTTCTGGGATTATAGGTGTGAGCCACTGCACCCAGCCCAAAAACAATCTTTAAAGTCATATAG